TTCGTCGGTTCTCGAGTCTCCCCCTCCTCCCCAGGAGGAGGAGGAGGAGGAGGAGGAGTGTGATGATGATGATGATTGTGATGATGATGATGATGATGATGATGATGATGATTATGATGCTGATGCTGCTGATGATGATGCTGATGATATGATGTTGATGATGCTGATGCTGATGCTGATGCTGATGATGATGATGATGATGATGATGATGATGATGATGCTGATGATGATGATGATGATGATGATGATGATGATGATGATGATGATGATGATGATGATGGGAAGGCCGAGGATCGAGCGGGGCTAGGGCCGGGATGTATCGTTCCATGGTGGCCCAGTTCGATGATCCTCAGGACGTGTGGTAGCCTAATGTGTGTGTTGCCCCTTCGGCCCAACCAGTAGATCATGACATCGCCTGCGTCGTATCGAAGGTCCTCGACGGACAAGCACACGTTGGGGCCAATGCACGCCGTGAGGATCGTCGACCAGAGCGGCCTCGGAGCGCTCCCGAGCGCTCTGGCGCGGTCCCGGCGCCCGACGCGTCCCCCAGGACCGCCGGACCTCAGAGCCGACTTGGTCCTGGCATCGCTCGGACGTGTGCATTTTTCGTTCGGCGAGGACCATCGAGGAGCATCCTTAATCATTTGGCGAATCAACCACGCACGAAACCGAACAAAAACACAGGAAATGGACGTCCGAGCGATGGCGAGTGGTTATCCCAGTCCGATTTTGCCCTGGTCCTGGCTTCGTCTCAGAGGGAGCAGGCGAAGAGCAGCACCCCCAGCCGGCCAGACCCCGCCAGGTCGAGAGCCAGCAGACGTTCTTCGGCGGCGACGTCTCCAGGAAGTGCCCAGGCCGTCTGCCTGTGCGCTTCTTGCGGGCGGGGGGTCGGGCCAGAGTGAGGGACGTTGACCTCTGCGCGCATGGTGAGGCTTTGGGTTGCGTGCAGACAGCCCCCTGGGAAGTCTGAAGTCGGGCGTGTCCCTCCACAGGAGGAATGTTCAAACAACATAGTCAAACAAATAGTCAGGGAACGGTTTGTTGTTTTGAATTTTCGATTCGTTTTGAATATCTGTTGGAGTAGCTTGTTCCCTCCCAAATTTGCCTGTAGGCGGACACGCCCGACCTGAGGGTAGTCCCGGTTAGCTTCGACAGGCCTCCCAAGAAGTCCGGGTTGGCCTCAACAGGCCCCCTACTTGTCCAGGTCTCTACACCCTGGCGCCGCTCTGGCGCGCCCCCGGCGGCGCCCCAAGGTTGGGTTGTTGGGACCGCCCCGGGCTACTCGGGGGGCCTGTTGAGTCCGGTTTGGACTGCCTGGGGGGTCCTTCTGCGCCAAACCCGAAGCCTTGCCATCCGCGGATGCGCTGGATGAGCGCGAGAAGGAGGAGGAGGAGGAGGAGGAGGAGGAGCAGGCCATCGGTTCGTCTTTGAGGCGTCTGGGACCTTGCCTCGTACCTTTTCGGCGGTGGACGGCGGGCTGGGCCGAGACCAGGATTCTTTCAAAGAGCCCAAACAACCAAACGTTTGACACGCCGTTCAACAGGGGGCGGCGGATCGAAGACGCATACGGCGAATCATTGCCGCCCCCTGCATTTTGGACGCGCTGATGTGGCCGAACGTTGTGGCCAAAGCTTGGACAAGCTGTAAGACTAGGTGTTCCCCGAGCTGTAGTGGAAAGCCTTCAGGGAACATTGATGGGAGGACAAGGGAGAGCATCAGGAGAGGTGGGAGGAGGAGGAGGAGGAGGAGGAGGAGGAGGCCGAGGAGGAGGAGGAGGAGCAGGAGGAGGAGGATGAGCAGGAGGAGGAGGGGAGGAGGGGGAGGAGGAGGAGAAGGAGCAAGAGGAGGAGGAGGAGGAGGAGGAGGAGGAGGAGGAGGAGGGGGAGGAGGGGGAGGGGGAGGGGGAGGGGGAGGGGCGTGTGGGTCACTTTACAACCGGAAGCGCACTTCACAACCAGATGGGTCACTTTACAACCAGCTTACAAAATCCGAGAAGGGCACTTTACAACCAGGAAGGGCACTTCACAACCAGGCAAGTAAAAACACATATTGAATGCACGCGGGCCTTTCCCTGAAATCTCCGTGGGCAAGCGCAAGGGTGGCTTTGGGCTCTTTGATGCATGTTGGTTGTGAAGTTGCCCATCGCGCACGAAGAAGCACTGCGCACGCGTTGGCGCTGCGGCGGCCTGGTGCGCTATGGTATGTTGCGTGCTGGTGGGCGGATTAGGGTTTTGACCTGCTCTCTAAGCTCTGTCGGTCAGTTCTGCCATTGCTTGCTCTGCCTTTTTCTGACGGACGAAGGCTAGTCGCGCAGGACATACGAATAAACCATGATCCCGTCCAAGACTGGAGCTGCATGGCAGCGGGAAGCTGTAGTGGGAGATGTGGTGGTAGCGGGGGCTACAATGGAACTGCATGGTGTTGGTAAGCTGCGGTGGCAACTGTGGCGGTCGCCAGGCAGCGGTGGGAAATGTGGTGGTAACTGGGCTGCAATGGGATTTGCGGCGGTAGCGGGGGGTCAGTCGGAATTGTGGAGGCAGCGGGGCTGCAGCGGCAAGTGTGGTGGTAGCAGGCACAAAGGTGGCGGCGATGCGCTGCCACGGTGGCTCAAGCTGCTGCGCTGGCACGGTGGCTGAAGCTGCTGCCCGAGCAGGATACCTGCGTCGCTGCGCTGGCACTGTGGCTGACGCTGGAAGGAACGATCTTCGAACTAGTCGCATGTATTCGGAACGTTGAACCTCGAGATCTTCCAAGAAGAGGAGCAGCAGGGGGCCAACTGGAGCTGGAGCACTTAGCCCCTTGCAGAACACCGCGGGGCTTCAGGGGCCAACGTGGCCTAAGAGACCCGTGGTGCCAATGGCCTGGTTCCCTGGGGCGCTGGGCCCTTGTGGAGGCCACTGGGCTCGCTTCCTGTGAGGGGTCCCTAAAATGGGCAGCGCGTCGCCCTGAACCTTCCTACGTACGCTGTCGCCTTATTCCCGTGCGGGCACGGGGCCCTTGTTGAGGCCGCTTGGCCCCTGCTAGCGAGCCCTGTCTTAGTCTGCTGGGCTCAGAGCGCCGGAGCGTCCAGGCGTTCGGGCTCAGAGGCATCGCTGGGGCCTGCTCAGAGCGTCCAGGCGCTCGGGCTCAGAGGCATCGCTGGGGCCTGCGCAGAGCGTCCAGGTCCTCGGGCTCAGAGGCATCGCTGGGGCCTGCGCAGAGCGTCCAGGTCCTCGGGCTCAGAGGCATCGCTGGGGCCTGCGCAGGGCGTTCAGGCGCTCGGGCTCAGAGGCATCGCTGGGGCCTGCGCAGAAAGTTCAGGCGCTCGGGCTCCAGAGCGCCCACGTGCTCTGGAGCACTTTTCAGAGCGTCCGCGCGCCCTGGAGCACTTTTGAGAGCGCCCACTTGCCCTGGAGCATTTTTCAAAGCGCCCACTTGCTCTGGGGCATCTTTCAGAGCGCCCACTTGCTCTGGGGCACTTTGCGGAACGCCCAAACACGCACGGCCACTCTGAGCTGGTTGTAAAGTGGTCCGCTATGGTTGTAAAGTGGCCCGTTCTGGTTGTAAAGTGGTCCGTTCTGGTTGTAAAGTGGGCCGTTCTGGTTGCAAAGTGGACGTTCTCCATGAAAAACATCACTTTCCAATCCTATGTTGGTTGTAAAGTAACCCATCTGGTTGTAAAGTGGTTGTTCTGGTTGTAAAGAGATCGAATCTCAGGGGGGGGGGGAGGGGGGGGGGGAGGGGAGGGGGACGGGGAGGGGGAAGATTTGGCCTCTTGGCGGCCTCTCGGGGCACCAATGGGGCCTCTTGGGGGCCTCCCATCGGCCTCTTGGGGGCCTTTGGGAGCTGCTTGGGGGCCTCTTTGGCCGTGTTATGGCGTTCCTGGCCCGTCGGAAACCGTCTTGGGGGCCTCTCTTGGCTGTCTTGAGGCTTTCTTGGGGCGTTTACGGGCCGTCTCGAATGGCATCTTGGGCGGCTTGGAGGCCTCTTGGACCGTCTTGGAGGCCTCTTGGGCTGGCATGGGGCCATCTGGGAGGCCTCTTGGGCGATCTTGGGGACCTCTTGGGCCCCATCTTGGGACGTCGTGGGTGCGTCATGGGTTGGAGGCTACAGTCAACGCGCCTAGTATGGACGCGCGCCTTCATCTAGGGTACCCTTGTGTCCTTGCCTCTGAGGCTCGTCCTTGCCATTATCACTGGTCGCCCGCCGCCCTAAAAAACCCAACTTCGGCCTCCAAGGGTCTCACGTCCTTATCACCCGTCCTTAATATACGTTTTGACTGTATCCTGGGCCAACTTGGTCGTCTTGGGGAGGCTTGCTGTGGTCGTCGAGGTGTTTCTGCGGCCTTCCCGGTGTCCTGCGCGAGCGGCCGAGACCTTTCTGGGACTTGCACAACGAGCCGAAGCCAGGCAGAGACCCGGCACCCCGTGCACCCCATGACAAGCCATAGGCTTGGCATCGCTCGAACGTGTGCATTTTTCCTTCGGCGAGGACCATCGAGGAACATCCTCGATCATTTCGCGAAAAAACCACGCACGAAACCAAACAAACACAGGGAATGGACGTCCGAGCGATGGCCAGTAGGGGGCGGTTCATCTTGTGGCTTTCGGCCCATCCCGCCACCGTGCCTGGCTCGTGGCCAAGAGGAATCAGGGCTGGACCTAAACACTGCGTTGCCAGACTTCGGCTGCGTTTTGTGTCTCGTGTTGGCAGGGAGGCGCAGGAATACAGGCAGCGCAGAACGAACGACAGAACGAGCACAGAACGAAAAACAGCGTTCAGGTCCAGCCCCGTGGACAAGAGGGATCTCTGGATGCCTCCCGGGGTCGCCTGGAAGTCCTCCTCCTGGTCTCTCGGGGCGGAGGCCCCCATGCAGGCCCGTGCGAGCTGCCCCTCCGGGGCCTCTCTTCGGGCTCGGGGGCCGTCCTGGGGCGATCTCGGGGGTCTTGGGCGGTTTCTCCACCGCTCGTCGGACCGACAAGGCGAGCCTGAAGATCGAGGATCGAGGATCGGGATCGAGGATCGGCGATCCGAGAGAGCATCGAGGATCGGGATCGAGGATCGGGGATCGGGATCGAGGATCGAGGATCGACGATCGAGGACCTGAACATCGACGATCGAGGATCGAAGATCGACGATCGAGGATCGAATAGCGAGGCTCGAGGCTCGAGCGAGGCTCGAGGCTCGAGAGGCGGCGAGGCGAGGAAGCGTCGTGGGGAGAGGCGCGGCCGCCCCCCCCTGGGCCGCGGAGGCGCCGCGAGGCCAAGGGGGGGTGCTCCCGGGGGGTTCCGAGGGGGCGGCCCCGCGGGGCAGTCCTCTCCGTGCCAGGGTGCCAAAGGTACAGTGCCAAAGGTACAGTGCCGTTTTCAATGCATGCTCCGCGTGCGGATCCTGTAGCCAACAATTGCAGGGATTTAGTACTGAAAACAACGATGAGTTCATGCATACATGTATACATACATTAACCGTGTAGTATTAAAAGTTCTAAAGTTTTATAGATCCCATGTCTCAAAAACTGCCCTGTTGGGACCCCTTTGGGCAAGGGCGGCCCCGAGGGCGCGAAGTTCTTGGCGCCTCGCGCTTCGCGGTTCGGCCCCGATTCCTCCTCCTCTTCTCCCCGGGGAGGCGGCGCGAGAGCGCGAAGTTGTTCGCACTTCGAGTCTCGCTCAGCGCGAAGCGCGAAGTGGGGAGCCCTCCGGGGTTCAGGAGCTGCTCTGGTTTGGGAGCCGTTCCCCGGAGAGCTGGGTCGGAGAACGGATTCCCGTGGCTGCTTCTTGTTTCAGGAGTGGCTCTGGTTTTGGGGCCTGTTCCAGGAGATCTGGGTCGGGGAACGACTTCTCGTGTTTTTTTGTGTTTGTTTCGTTGCCGCCGCGTGTCCTAGGCCTGGCCGCGCGATGACTGCATGGCATGCTGGAAGCATGCTGGAAGTCTTGGGCGCCGCCGTCGGCCGTGCGCTGGCTGGTTTGGGGGCTATCGACCAGGGCCCGTGGCCCGGGGCGCGGCCCGAGCCGGGCCCCGGGCGTGGCCGCCAGCGTTGCCAGCTTGGGGGCGGCTCCATGAGCCTACGGACGCGATGCAGGATGATGGTTAAGAGGTCAGGGTTCTTGTCGATTCCTCCGACTCGATCCGATTCGATGTCGATGGTTGCCGATCCCGATCCGGTGCGACAGTGGAGTCCGATGTGGGCTCGGATTTCTCACTGGGGGCCTACCAGCCTGCCGGTTTCCGCCGATCCGACTTCTCCCGGCTCCGTTGCCGAGTTCCGCCGATCCGATTCATGTCGATCCCCGATCCGACTTCTCGATTCGATTATGGGCTCTCCTGAGAAGTTACCGGCGGTCGCGTTTAACCAGCGGCGCCAAGGTTGACGATGAGAAGCACGGGCCCATGGTCCAGAAACTGAACTTGCATCGTTCCCTCGCGCCCTCGGTGGGGTCGCGCCTAGGCAGTCGACTGACCAGACGGAGCTGGAGCGAATGGGACGCCGAAGGTTCGGAAATTAGTTTGTTGTGGACGCACAAGCTTGCCTTGTTCGTGGGCGCAATCCTTGGGGGGGCGCAGCGGGAGTCCGCGCGCGGCCAGCAGGCACGCGCGCGGCGCGCGTCCTGCATGTGTACGTGGATCGTTTGGCAGGCGCGCGCGCGGGGCAGGTCCGCGCGCGCGCGTGCCCTCGCTGCGCAGGCGTTCGTCGCAGGTGCGCGCGCGGCCCGACGGGGGCGAACGCGCGCCGCGACGCCGCGCAGGCGACCACGATTATCTGCAGGACGGGCAGGTCCGCTGCATTCTTGTTTCTCCCACCCACCCACACCTGGCGCGCTGTGCTGCGCGTGTCGGGTGCGACGGTGAGTTGCGTCCAGGGGTGTCATGCCCGAGCGCTGCTCCCTCGCCGCGCGCCGCGGTGGTTTCGTCTACCACGCATGCGGCGCCGCGCCGCGGTGGGCCCAGCCCAGTTGGGCTCGCCCAGACGCGGCGCTCACGAGGGGGCGCGTCGCACCCATCGAAGGGGCGCGACGCGCCTGGACGCTTGTCACCACCAGGATTGCGCATCGTCCCCCCCGCGCTCTTCTACTGTACGTTCGCGTCGTTTCGACCTGCGGCGACCCCGCCGCCGGCGCCCAACGTTGAACGCCGCCAGCGACCCAGGTCCGCCGACAGAACGCAGACTGCGCCGGGGTTCCCGTCGAGCTTTTGCGTCGCATTGGAGGGCCTCGGTGGAGAAGCCGCGCGTTGAGGATCATCGGGCGGCCCCCCCAGCCACCGCGCAGGGCCTGGCTTGAAAAAGGAACAGTTGCGTTTCAAAAAGGGGCTCGGCCGTTCTTTTGGTTTGCTTGCGTTCTGCTATCTTCTTGGCGGCGGGCCCCCCTGGCGTTCCTTCGGACTTCCGAGGCTTACTTCGATAAAAATAGAGCTTCGATCCTTATTGATCGTTCCTTAGGTCAGGCCGAATACTGCAGTCCGTCCCAGTCCTGTCGCGGCCCAGAGTTGCACGGTCTCGGGGCGCTCCGCTGCGCGCTTGGGTGGGCGCGGCAGCCCCCCCCCCCCCCCCCCGCGGCTGCGCGGGGAGGGTTGCGCGCCTCGCGCGTCGCGGCCTGGGCCTGGGCGGCCGCTCGCTTCCGAGGGCGTGGCACGACTGCACCTGCAGGGTGTGACGATGCTCGCGCACTGTGGGGCGCGATGTTCAGAGGAGGGAAAGGTGCCCATACCGCTACCCTCCGCCCGTTTTCCTTGTTTTGGGCCTCCTGGGAGGCCCTCGTCGCCACCGCTGGATTCGCTTCCGACTTATGGTCAGAAAGCACCCCAGGAGAGGTCCGGGGAGTAGCGGCATCGGTACATTTTGGTTTCCCCAGATGCGCCACGTTTGCGTGGCCTGCTTGGCCTGTCGATGCCACCATGCGAGCTGCCAGTGGCCCGTTCTTGTTTGCGCCCGCTGAAGAGGCGCCTGCCTCCACCGAGAATCAGTCTGCGGGAGCTCAGGGTTCGACCTCCGAGCAAGGGGACCATGCGAGCCAGGCAGGGGGCGGCACCTTGCGCTGCTCGCGTTTTGCCCCGCGGAACCGATGTGTCGTGCGACGTGGTTTGCGAAGGAACGGTTCGGGGGGGGGGGCGTAAGGCACAAGCGCCCCTAACGCAGCGGAGGGTTCTTCAGGATGCTCTTCTTGGAAGGTTGACTTCAGCATCGGCGCTGGCATAGCCATGGCCAGAATCTGGCCGAATCTGGCGCGATGCCGCCGAATCCCGCCCAGTCCCGCCGTGCTTGGGCGATTTCGATGGCCGCTTTCGTTTTGACGTGCTTGATCTCGTTCTGTAGCAGACGAGGATCCAACACAGAACGAGGGAAAATTAACACAATAACCGAACCCCATGGATAATTGATCATACCCCACTTCCCCCCTGAGATTGCGTTATCCCCGGCCAAGACAGAGTTGGTTGGGAGAGAGGGCGGGGGCAAGGCCGAACTTTGTCATCGCGGAGGAAAGGTACGGATCGGTGTTGCTATCTTCTCATGCTGAGTAGCATCGCCGTCGTCGTCGTCATAATACTTCCCGCGCGCGACTTGCCGGGACAGATCGTTGGTTATCCCCCCGGGGCTTCGAACTTATTGTCCCCCGGGTGTTCTTCTCACGGGCACTTGGTGGCAAGAAAAGGGGTGCTTGCCAAATGCAAGCGCTGGGGCTGGGAAGAGAGGGGGGGACGAGGAGGAGGCCGAGGAGGAGGAGAAGGAGGAGGAGGAGGAAGGGGCGGGGGAACACGAGGAGGAGGAGGAGGAGGAGGAGGAGGAGGAGGAGGAGGAGGAGGAGGAACGAGGCAGAGCGAACGCAAACATCAAGCACAACCGCACCCTGCTTGGCTCGCGCCCCCGTCCTGACGTGCGTGCGGGAGCCCCCCCCCCTCGGCAGCGGAGGAGGCCGCCGCCCGTGCGCCGCCCCCTGCTGCCGCGCGCCAGGCCCCCCCCCCCCTCCCTTCCCGACGGGGCCCTGCTCTGCCGCAAGGCGCCCTGGTGCTCGCGCTGGAGGCCGTGCGCGCCATGGTCGTGGACGGCCGCCGCGCCGCCCGCCCGCCCAAGACGCGGAGCGCGTCGCGGAGAGGTCCGGACGGGAGGCGTTTTTGGGGCCAACTGCGGCCTCGGGGGGCCCTTGCCGGGCCTCGGGGCCGTCCAGGAACGATCGGGGGCCTCGAGACGGGGGTCAACGCAAACGGGGATCAGCCAGGGCGCCGGATCCTGCAGGATCCTGCGAGGACCCCTTCTGGCTGACCCGGGTCAGCGACCCGCGGTGTCCCGTGGTGTGCGGTGGTGTCCCGTGGTGTCACGCGGTGTCCACCGTTGCTAGGGCGGAGTCAAGACAAATGATCCTCCCCCGCCCGCCCGTCCAGCGGTGGCTCGCCATGTCTGGCGGTGTCCCGTGGTGTCCAGTGGTGTCCCGTGGTGTGTCCGCCGTTGCTAGGGCGAAGACAAGACAAATGATTCTCCCCCGCCCGCCCGTCCGTCCGTCTGTCCGGCGATGGCTCGCGGTGTCCCGTGGTGTCCCGTGGTGTCCCGTTGAGCGAGATCGATATTGAGATCGATGTTGTGTCCCGTGGTGTCCCAAAAAGTGAGATAGTGAGATCGACAGGTGTCCCATGGTGTCCTGTGGTGTCCCGTGGTGCCCCGTTGAGTGAGATCGATACTGAGATCGATGTGGTGTCCCATGGTGTCCCAAAAATTGAGATCGATAGTGAGATCGATAGTGAGATCGACAGGTGTCCCGTGGTGTCCCTTTGATTGAGATCGATAGTGAGATCGATAGTGAGATCGATGTGGTGTCCCGTGGTGTCCTATGGTGTCCCATTGAGTGAGATCGATTGTGAGACCGATAGTGAGATCGAGAGGTGCCCCGTGGTGGCCCGTGGTGGCCCGTGGTGGCCCGTGGTGTCCCGTGGAGTGAGATCGATAGTGAGATCGATAGTGAAGTCGACAAGTATCACATGGTGTCCCGTGGTGTCCCGTTGAGTAAGATCGATAGTGAGATCGATTGAGTCAGATGTTGGTTCCCCCCCCTCCCCCCCCCACAACCTCCTTGTCACCCGAAGGGTGGTCGTATAGGTGAGCTATGCGATTGCAACACGTTGCACGTTGCGATCTGCACTTCCAGCTCGCCCCGCTCGTGGGTGCGCCCCGCCCCGAAGGGCACGCCACACGTGGCCCCGGTGGCGCGCCTTGCCCGAAGCGCGCGCTCTTGCCCGCGGAAGCCGCGTACTACTTACCCGGATGCGGTAGGTTCGTGTCGTGTCGACCGGCGGCGACCCCGCCAGCAGCGTTCCACGTGGAACGCCGCGGGCGGCCCAAAAGTCGTTCGATGTGGCACGATGCGGACGTCTCGGAAGCGGCCGATCGTTCAGGGTCGAACGATCCCCGCGGTGTCAGGAACCAGCGCCGAAGTCGGCACGACGCGAGCCTGCCGTACGCTACTTTCTCTGCTGCGATGATCCACCGGCCACGGGTGCTCTTCCTGGTCCTCGTCGGCTGCAGCGGCCTCTCCATCGACCCAGAGCGCGCCCTGGAGCGCGCCCTGGGGCAGACTGACCGGAGCTCGGCGAAGGTGTCAGCGGCGGCCTAACCGACCCTTAGCATTCTGATGTTCCAACCTACTTCAGCCTTGGGCATCAGAAAGAATTTCGAGCACCAAGGGAGTACCGAAATCGGAGGGTTTCACGTGTCGGGTCCTGGGAGGCGATACTCGTTCGACACTGTTTCGACAGTTTTCTGGGTGCTCGAAATTATTTCTGGGATGTGGTCTTGAAGTGCGATGGGAACAACATAACCCTAGCAAGCCATCCCCTTCCGTGAGTCCCCCTTGCCTCGCCCCAAAACGTATGTATGCGGCCGGAGGAGAAGTCGAAAGGCGAGGATGACGTCACGGAAGGGGATGGCTTGCTAGGCTGGAGTCGGGCACAGGGTAGTCAAAAAATCGTTTGGGGACCAATTTTCGATCATTTTCGGGTGTGTGTTGAATATGTGGTTGTCTTTTTTATCATTTTCTTCATTCCCAAGATCTGCCTGTAGGAGGACCCGACCTAATCCCGGGGGTCGGTCAGGCCGCGCCCGAAGGCGGGCCAGTCGAGCGACGCGTGGCGCTCCCGGGCCGAGGCGGCCGCCCGGCAGGCCCAGGCCAACGATTGGTTCGGCGGCGCGGTGGCTGTGGCCGAGGAGGCCGCCAGGGAGGCCCGCGAGCAGTTGGAGAGGGCCCAGCAGGAGCTGGGCACCAACATACTAGCAACAAGCAGACACAAAATGATAAAGATCGTAGTATTTAGAGTAAGAAGTGAGAATGCGAGTAGCACTAAGAATATTACTATCACGAGGACTACTCCTACTGCTACTACTACTACTACTACTACTACTACTCCTGCTACTACTACTACTACTACTACTACTACTACTACTACTACTACTACTACTACTCTGACTACTACTACTACTACTACTACTTCTACTACTACTACTACGACGACTACTACTATTACTACTACGACTATTACTACTACGACTATTACTACTACTTCTCCTACTACGACTACTACTACTACTACTACTACTACTACTACTACTACTACTAGTTTACTAGTAGTAGTAGTAGTAGAGTAGACTAGACTACTACTACTACCACTACCACTACAACAACACCAACTACTACTACTATACTACTATACTACTACTACTACTACTACTACTACTACTACTACTACTATACTACTACTACTACTACTACTACTACTACTACTACTACTACTACTACTACTACTACTACTACTACTACTACTACTACTACTACTACTACTACTAGTACTACTACGACTGCGGCTACGACTACTAGTATTACGACTACAACTACTACTATTTGTTTTCTGTTGTTGCTACCACTACTGGTACTACTTCTGCTACTTCCTCTACTACTGCTACTACTACCACTTCTACTACTACCACTACTACTACTACGACTACGACTACTACTACTACGACTACTACTACTACTACTACTACTAATACTACTACTACTACTACTACTACTACTACTACTACTACTACTACTACTACTACTACTACTACGACTACTACTACGACTACTACTACTACTACTACTACTACTGACTACTACTACTACTACTACTACTACTACTACTACTACTACTACTACTACTACTACTACTACTACTACTACTACTACTACTACTACTACTACTACTACTACTACTACTTCTACTACTACTACTACTACTACTACTACTACTACTACTACTACTACTACTACTACTACTACTACTACTACTACTACTACTACGACTACTGCTATTGTGTCTACTACTAATGCTCCTACACAAAAGAATGAAGCCACACACATGTAGTTGTTCGATAAACAAGGAGCTGGACACCAATATGACCCTGCGCCAGATCGAGGCGGTGGACTCCCACGCACAGGCCGAGGCCCACAGCGAGTTCGCCAGGCAGGAGAAGCTGCAGGGCGTCCTCAGCTCCATGAGCCACGAGTTCGACGCCACCGTGAGGGAGGTCGCCCATCGAGTGAAGAGCGACCAGGAAACCGAAAGGCGGAAGCTGGCGGCGTACGACAAGTTCATGAAGAAGATGGAGAGGATGGAGGAGACCGACAGCGAGAAGGCGGCCCGGGAACTCGCCAAGGAACAGCATCGGGAGCTCACCCTTGAGCGGATGGCGATGAAGGACTTCCAGAAGGAGGAGAAGATCGAGGCCAAGGAGATGGCCCAGATGAAAAAGGAGCTCCAGAAGGCGGAGGTCCACGAGAAGGTGATCAAGAAACACCGCGCAGAGAAGGAGGGCGAGATCTCGGCAAGGCTCTGGGACGAGGCGGAGGACCTTCGCGTGAATGCCAGCAACCTGTCCAACGGAACCCTGTCGCAGGATGAGGTGCTGAGCTTGCTGGACATATCGGCGGATGAGCTGAATAACATGACAGATGCGAGGCGGGGATATATTCATATCTGCCGCCTTGAGAGACGACGTTCTGGGACCCCGACGGGCGGTTGGTACGGATATCTTTTGGCCCTTTGGGGGGGGGGGAAATATGTCCACATCCACAGCCCATCGGGGTTTTCGATCTCCCAGGCCGTGGTTGTGGATGAATCCCCGCCTCGCAGCAGAGACCATCTCCAACCTCTCTGGCGATACGGGCGCCTGGTTCGAGGAGCGTTTAAGGGGCATCCGGTACAGGTCCACCACCGCCTCGGCGCACTTGCTGCAGGCGATCACCGCGAACGTGCAGGAGCTTAGGAGCCACCACCAGGACCTCACCGACGCCCAGCTGCAGCACCAGATCGTGAGGCTCCTGAACGAGACCAGGAGCTCACAGGAGGAACAGGTGCCGATGCTGCCACCCCCTCCATCGTTTTCGGCGTTTCGGGCTTCCTGGGAGGCCCCCGTCGCCGCCGCCGGATTCGCTTCGAAATCCTGAGAAGTCCGAGGAGGGCTGGGGGGCTGAGGTTGCCCAGCGCTAGTTCCGGCCAGCAGAAAGGGTGGGGAAAGGGGCCCCCTCGTCGCGCTGGCTGGTCGCGGAACCTGGTCGGTTTCGATCCCGGGAGCATCCAGAGGCCGATTTGGAGTGGCTTTGCCATGGTCCGCCCCTCTTGGCCGACGATCTCGGGGCTCATGTTTCACCTTCTTGGGTCTCCTTGGAGGCCCTCGTCGCCACGGCAGCGTTCGCCTCGAAGTGCTGTTCTTGGGTGCGCCCCGGGAGAGGTCCGTGACGTAGCGGCATGGGTATAAATGAAACTAGGGAGGGAAACTCACGCCGGCCTCCATAATAAGTGGCGCTTGTTGAGCGGCCCATGGCGTTTACTAAACAACTCTGTCATGTTCGACGTCTCCATTGGGTGCGCTTACGCAGCGGGATTGTTCGGCGACGAGCGAGGGGGGGAAATGAGAAGGAGAAGGCCTTCTCAGAAGGTGGCGGGACTTCTCAGTAGCCCTCGCGTCTTCTGATCAGCTTTCTGTGTCTTCGGGGAAGGCTTAGAGAACTTCTCAGAAGGCTCGGGGACTCCCGAGCCTTCTGAGATGGCACGCCTCTTCTCACTTGCCCCCTTGCTCGCCGCCGATGTATGTGTTGGGGTGCTTCTTATGATGGTGTCGTCTGCTCTCTATTGAGTAGTTTTCCAGGAACGAGGTCAAGCTCCTGCAGCTGGAGAGCACCGCGATCCACAGGCGGATCGACGGCTGGGGGCGGGCGAGCCCCGAGAAGCTCAGCGTGGCGCTGGCCGGGGCGCTGGACGTCCTGGGCCTGTCTGCCACCACCACCACCATAAGATGGAGGGGGAATGAGATGGAGGAGGAGGAGGAGGAGGAGGAGGAGGAGGAGGAGGAGGAGGAGGAGGAGGAGGAGGAGGAGGAGGAGGAGGGGAGGAGAAGGAGGAGGAGGAGGAGAAGGACCCCCTCCCCTCCTACTTGTCCATCAGTTGGAGGGGGAAGTAGGTGGAGGATGAGGAGGAGGACAAAGAGGAGGAGGAGGAGGAGGTGGAGGAGGAGGAGGAGGTGGAGGAGGAGGAGGAGGACCCCCTACCCCTCCTACTTGTGGCGGTGGTGGTCGAAGACAAGTCCACCAGGACGGGGTCACCAACAACGTCGAGTTCCAGAACCACCTCTTCGAGGTGGACCTAGGCCGCCTGTCGCACGCCAGCCAGACCGAGGCCCATGAGGAGGACAAAGGTGTACCGCCACCGCCACTCCTGCCTTGTTTTTGTTTTTGTTCGGCTTCGATCCCCCTCCCCCTTCTCCTCCTCCTCTCCTCCTCCGCCTCCTCTCCCCCCTCCTCCTCCTCCTCCTCCTCCTCCTTCTCCTCCTCCTCCTCCTCCTCCTCCTCCATTTCCTCCTCCACCACCCATCGGTCGGTGAAAGTAGGTACTCTTGGATTCCCATATTACAGTATATTTCAGGCGCCTTCTTACTTCAAGGATCGAGTGTCTTTCCCTCTCCAGTCCTCTTCAGGGGGCGGGCGGAGACCAAATCTGCTTCCAGCGTCTTTTTACTTCATGCATCTACCTACTTCTTACGACCGATGGGTACCCTTGACTCGTTTTCGCCTTCTTCTCGGCCTCCTGTGAGGTCCTCGTCGCCACGGCCGGATCCGCCTCGAAATTCTGGTCAGAACGCACATCGGGAGAGGTCTCGGGAGCACTTCTAGTTCCTGGCCCCTCCAGAGGCATGCAGGATGCTCAGCGCGCTGTTCATGGAGGACATGCAGCCGGCCTACAGGAGCATCTGGCGCATGCGGGAGAAGCTCGACCTGCTGACCAGGGTGGTGCCCAGCGCCCTGGCCGGCACGCCCGAGGGCATGGACGTGGTGGCGGGCCGCACGCGCGACCTGCTGAACATGGCCTACGCCCAGCACCTCGCCCTCGAGCAGGCCTCGAGAGCCGTCCTCGCCGAGGCGACGCGGGAGGGCCGCAACACGCGCGCACCTGCCCCGCCCTTGCCGTCCTCTGCCCAGGCGCCCCTCGGCCGATGCGATGCCGGTGCCCTGCCGGCGCGGCTGGATCCGACGCGCGCCCCGATCAGGTACGATGCATGAAGTCGGGCCTGTCCCCCTACAGCGGCATTCTTTCTCGACGAACAATGAAAAGATGCCCCAAACATACTCCAAAAGGGTAGCAAAAATAGTCAAAAAAGAGTCCCCAGACCAGTTTTGGGTTACTTTTTGATTATCTTTTTGGGTATTCTGAATTTTTCGTCGAAAATCCCCCTGTAGGGGGACAGGCCCGACTTAAACGATGCATCGGTTCGTTGTGGGTCGCTGCTGTGTTTTCGGTACGGTTCACCGGCCCCGATCCCCATCGCCAGCCCTATCCAGGCCCCCACCATCTTGCAGCACGCCAGTTGGGGATATGCCTATCGGGGCGAATGTGGGATAAGGAGGTCAAAGATGGGAAGACGGCACGCTAGGCGCGCTCTTGCCATATCTGACAACCTACAAGCCGGTCGTTGAAAGTTGATTTTTTTTTGGGAATCCCAGATCCCAATCTATTTCAAGCACCTTCCTACCTCAAGAATCGACATGCTTTTGCTGTGTTCTGTCATTGTCTGTGGGGGCCTGCACTCAATCAACTTAATCCGCCTTCCTACTTCATGTTTTTACCTACTTCTTCCGATCGCAGAAGGGATGCTGCGCACATTGGAGGAGGAGGAGGTATCTAGGGAGGTAAATCGGCCAGTGGGGCCCAGGCTACGCCCATAGGAAAAGGAGTCGGTTGAACGATATTCATACTGAGGGAACCCCGATCCAAGCAAGTCGATTGAGGAATGTTGGTCCGAGTCATTCGGCAATGGCCATCGCAGTGCACCGCTGCAATCCCCAGTCGGTTCCGCTAATCGACGCGGGTCTTGCGGATATTCGAGACGCTTCGCGTAACCCCACCAGCTTGCAGTCCTCACCCCTGGTGCCCCAGCTCAGCTTCAGCCAGCTGCCCACCCGGCGGTAGGGTCTGATCCCGCGCTCGGTCGCTGTATCATTAGGCTCGCGCGTAGCCCGCCCGACCTTTTCGGATGCCTCCTGCGCTTCCGCTTGCGGCCGCGACAAAAAAAGTAACCCCACCAGCCCATCCAGACACGATGCCCAGGCGAGTTGCCCGGATCAGGGATGCCGACCTATCGCTGGACGCTCCTCGGCGCCTCTGGCGGTCCTCTTGGGGGGTCTGCGGGGTCCTCATGGGGGTGGATTTGTCCTCGAGGGGGTGGCGATTCCCGCCCAGGGGTAAGCCTCTCGGCACTGCCGCAGGGGAGGGCCGGCAGCCAGGGTTCGTTTCGATTCCTTCGTCGAAGGAATCGTCGTTTCGATTGTTTCTCGAATCGAATCGAAGTTCGATTCGATTCGATGTCGATGTCTTCCGATTCCAATTCGATTCGATTTCGGATTCCGATCTGGACTCCGATTCCTCAATGGAGGGAGGCCTACTAGCCCGCCGATTTCTGCCGATTCGACTTCTCTGCACGTGGCTGTCGATTTTTCCGCCGATCCGATTCAGTTCGATCGCGCCGATCCGACTTGTGGATTCGATTCTGGGTTCTCTTGGGAAGCTGGGGAAGAAGACGCCTGGAGGGCCGAGGAAGAAAGCACCACAGCGTATGCAGACGTACGTTCTACTGGGTTGAGGTTTTACAGTGTCTCGCTGTGGAAGTGCTTTGGAGACGAGGTCGCCCGAGAGCCCGTCGGGGCGGAGTGGCGGGGGCGACCCCATGTGCGGCGGCTCGCCCGCGCGACACCCTGCACCCAATACGACGCAAGGGCGTGCCGCCGCCCAGAGGTCGGTCCCCCCCCCCTGGGCTCTCGGTGGCGGCGGCCCTTGCTTCTCCTCGGACCCCTCGGCCCTGCCCGCCCCCCCCCCTCCCGTCCTCGGCGCGCCCGAGGCGGGGCCCGTCATCGTGGATCGGCTGAAATGCGTCTTCAGCGGCACGCCCCACGCCGCGCCGGGCCTCCTGGCGGCCGCGCTCGTCGCCGCGGCGGGCTGGCTGGCGGCGTGGTGAGGCTGCCGTGAGGTCGGCTGCGTGCTGTTCCGTCGGCATGGAGCAGGGGGGGTGCCTGACCCGACCCAGGCCAGGACGATCGAGCAGCACACACCCACACCCACAGGGGGGGGGGACGGATGTGGGCTGCGGGTGCGCGTTGTCGACGGGGGGGGTCCCCGCTCGAGAATCCAGGAAACGTAAGACTCGAGTGAGCCAGATTTCGGGTTTGCCGTCGGTTTCCGACGAGCGCGTCCTGGATTTTGACGGTCCGGTTTTTGGTGGGATGTTTGCACCGGGAGGTTGCGTCAAATTTCAGATTGGGTCTCGTCGATTTCATTGATGGCCCCGTCAGGCCAACCCGAGTCCCCCGAACCCGAGTCTCTGACGCTCTCCCGAGAGAAGGGAGCCTCCCCCGCGGTGTGCCACCCCGCACCCATACAGCCAAGACGCTGAAATCAGGAACGCCCCGGGTGCGGAAGGGGCTCGCTGCTCGGGAAGCTCCTCCACGGCTCCTCCCCCAGCACTCCTCGTGCACCCGGGCGCTTCTGGGGCCAAGACGGGGCCTCGTCCCTTGTTCTTGCGCTCCCTCGGATCTGACGAACCAGCAACACACACCCATACCCATAGGGGGATCGGAGAGGGCTATGGGTGCGTGTTGTCGGATGGGGGTCCCCGCTCGAACGGGAGCGTTCCCCAGGGTCCGACAACCCGCACCCATACCCACAGCCAGTCCTCCTCCCAACGACCCCCCCTGTGGGTATGGGTGTGTGTTCTTCGTTCGTCATGACCGTGCCTCGACTGTACCCGTGGCCCGCCCTCCCGCTTCCGATCCCCCGCACGCGGCGTGAGCGCGTGCGGTTCGCTCGCCGGGCCACCCCCCGGCGGGGGGCGCGCAGGCCGCGCGCGCTGCGCGCGCGCCGCGGCCTCAGGGCCGCGGCGGCCGCCCTTCTCCAGCAGAGGGCGGTGCGAGGGCGAGGGCCAAGTCGGGCCTGCCCCTCTGCAGGAGCGCTCTTCGAAGATAGTCAAAGAAATGATGCAGGGCATGACTTTATGAGCATGCTTTGGCCATCTGGGCATGATTTTGGGAGCATTGTCTGAGCATGATTGTTGGAGCATTTTTTGGCCACTTGGGGGTACTCTCTGACTACGGTAGGTTCGCGTCGTGTCGACCGGCGGCGACCCCGCCAGCGGCGTTCAACTTTGAACGCCGCGGGCGACCCAGAATCGTTCGATGTTGAACATTTGGACGTTGCGGAGACGGCCGATCGTTCAAGGTTGAACGATCCCCGCGGTGTCAGAAACCAACGCCGCAGTCGGCACGACACGGACCTGCCGTACTTTTCCTGTTTCGCCCAAGATCCCCCCCTGCAGCGGGACGGGCCCGACTTGTGAGGCTCGGGCACGGGGGCGCGCCGAGGACCTCGGGGGGCGGGCCCCCCCGGAGGGCCGCCCCGCCCGCGGGCTCCGCGGGCCCTCCCCGGGCCCTGTGCGGGGATCGTCGGCCCACGGCGCGGGGTGGAGAAGAGCTGGCCCTGGAGAGAGGGCCCCACGGTGGGAGGAGGAGGAGGAGGAGGAGGAGGAGGAGGAGGAGGGAGGAGGAGGAGGAGGAGGAGGAGGAGGAGGGAGGAGAAGAGCTGGCCCCGGAGAGAGAGCCCCACGGTGGGGGTCAAGTCGGGCGTGTCCCCCTACAGGTGGCTTTTTTTTTGACGAAACATATTTTAAAAAAATACCCCACAAAATACACCAAAAAGGCCAAACGATACTAACAAAAATACTCCCCAGGCCATTTTCGGATTATGTGTTGATTATTGCCGTGGTATTTTCTGTATGTTTCGTCGAATATCCCCCTGTAGGGGGACACGCCCGACTTAAGGTTGGGGGAGCGAAGCAGGACATAAACGTAACACATTCGCCGGTTCGTGCGGATTTCTCGGATCCGCGCTGGCCCCCCCTCGTTGGCGCGCGGAGCGCGCCAGGGGCGGTACTGGAGGCTAAGCGCCTCCAGGGCCCCAGCGTCGATCCGAGAAATCCACGCGGACCTCCGAGTTTTTTGTTGTTTGTGTCATTCTTCGTTCCCCTAACGGCGGTCGAGAGGAACCCCCCTTTCCTTCCTGCCAGTCTCGCTCCTGGTCCGGCCCCGGCGCCCGGTGGGCCCGTGCCGCCCCGGGGCCCTCTCGGCCGCCGGTCGGGCAAGAGACCGCTGGCGATCACGGGCGTGACCAGGGGGGGGTGGGAAGGGCTCATTTCGATTATTCCGATTCGATGCGATTCGGTTTCTATTGTTTACGATTCCGATTCGATTCGATTTCGGATCCCGATTCGGGTTCCGATGTCTCAAGGGAGGCATACCAGCCTGCCGAGTTCCGCCGATTCGATTTTTCCCGACTCGGCTGCCGACTTCCCCCGATCCGATGTATTTCGATTGCCGAACCGACTTGTCGATTCGATTCTGGGCTCTCCTGGGTGGGAAGGGGGCTGGGGTGGTGGCCATTCACATCACGATGGACGCCGGCGCCGTCTGGGAATGGTTGGGGATTTATCCAGAGTGAAGGACCCCCTAAGCCTAGTAGCGCGATGAAGATGTGGCCTCTCTCAGGTTCCCGTCGTCGCAGCCGGGAGACTAGCCCTACCCCTTTTGTTAATGGCCATCCTAATTGTAGGTCTCCTCCCACAGGGTTAGGGGTACTTTTTTTGCTTATCAGGAATTGCTAATTCCCAACACGGTGCCGGTGCGAACTGGGGGGGAAAGGGGGGGAAAGTCGGGGGGCCAGTCACTGTCTTTATCGCGAATAATAGAGAGGCGGGATCCAGCGGAAAGGGGTCGAGTTCAGGTTGCCGAACGAATTGGATCCAGGGTCTAATTGGCGGCCGAGATGGCTCAGACTCCGAACGGTTTCGAATGCGATCCCTAGGGCAATCTGCGCATCTTAGATGCAGCGCGTTTTATTGTGTGTGCACAGGGCGTGGCATGGTGGATGATGCCGGGGTGAATGCTTGCCTGTGCGTGCTCCGACGCACGGGTCCACATACACACACGCACCTCAGGATGCAACTCCTGGGAGGTCAAATTCTGATTTTGCCCTGGTGCGAATTCCGGTTTCATCTGGCTTACTCTCGCTGAATCCGGCTTACTCCCGCCTCATCCCGCTTACTCCGGCTCAACCCCGCTCCATCCGTGGCCCACCCCCCGGCGTAACGGCCCCCCAGTGGGGCCCAATCCTCCTGCAGTCTTTCCGACGAGGGCCTCCCAGCAGTTGCCTCCTGACGCGCCGCTTCTGTGCGCGCTCTGTGGCTGGCAGCTGTTCGGGGCGGATGGCCAGAATTCAGAGTTCGCCGCGCAGCCACGTCCACCGTGCCGCCCTCCCCGCTCGGGTCGGACGACAGGGGGAAGCCTGGCATCGCTCGGACGTGTGCATTTTTTTCTCGGCGAGGACCATCGAGGACCACCCCGGACCATCGAGCCAAAAAGCACACGCGCGAAGCCGACAAATGCGCGGGAAGTGGACGTCCGAGCGACGGCAAGGAAGAGGGAATGCAGGGGTGCGACATCTGCTGCAGGCAGCTGGTGGCGGCCCCGCCGCCGGGCGCTTGCTCTCATGCGTTGGCGCCTCCGGCGCCATGGGGCGTTGACCCCCTCCCTCTGCCCCCCCCCCCCCCCCCACCCCGCTCCTGTTCCCCTGGGGGGCCCTCACGGGGCCTGGGGCCGTCAGAGAACGACTCGGGATGAGAAAACAGCCCTGAGGAAGGGGTCGGGACTTCTGGGGGTTCGGAGGTGAGCGTTTTCTTATCCTTGAGCGGCTCGACATTGGGCGGAAGGGGGTGGACCCCTTGGACACGGCATGCTTTGATTTTTCCACTGCGCGGCCCCCTGCATGCCCGACCTTCTCGCCAGGGCCAGCTTCTCGCCCCGTGCCGTGCTCTTGATGGTCCTTGGGCTCGGCGAGGGTCCCAGGAGGTTGAATGTTGTTCACGATTTCCCGTCGTGGCTTTGTCACGACGCAAACATCCGAGTACACACACTGCATCAACATGCATTTTCGACGGCCCTTGCGGATCTCTCGCTCCCGCGCTGGGCCCCCCGGGTGGCACCTCGGGCCCCCGCCCCTGGCGCGCTCCGCGCGCCAGCGGCGCGGGCCCAGCGCCGATCCCAGGACTCCGCGCGGAGCTCTGGCGGCTTGGGCTCCTACCGCTTCCCGCTCCCAGAGAGATGCTTGCCCACGGCGCGAAGCCTTGGCATCGCTCGGACGTGTGCGTTTCTCCTTCGGCGGGGACCATCGAGGAGCATCCTTGATCATTTGGATAAAAAACACGCACGAGACCAGGAAAAACACAGGGCATGGACGTCCGAGCGATGGCCAGAAGCCTGCCTGCCCCCTCCACGACGCAGGCGCGCCTGCTCCCCTCTCGTCCGGCCCGGCCTGGTGCGCGACGCCTTCGCGGCGCGGCGCTGTCTCACGCGCGTTTTTGGCGCGCCGTGTGCGCCCGCGCCGCTCGTGCCGGGCCGCCCTCCTCGCGGATGGCGGGGGCGCGGCCGGGCCGGGCTCGGCTGGAAAGGGGTCCCCCCCGCCGACGGGAGAGGAGTGGCGTCGGGCGTGTCCCTCCACAGGAGGAATATGCAGAAAGATGTGAAATAATAAGGTGGGGGCGATGTTCTGAATTATGTTTGACTATGTTTGAACTTGTTTTCGCCACTTTGAACTGTTCATGCAAGACCCGCCTGTAGGAGGACATGCCCGACCTGATGAGACGACGGGGATGCGTTAGCAAATCATGAGAGCCCTGTGTGCGCTCGCAATTTCGTCTTCGGAGTGCACTCGCGGGCGCTAGCGTCTGGGAATCGATGTGAGAGCACCGATGTAGCGTCGATTGGCGTTTGCCAGCGTCGATTCGTAGGAGCTAGTAATCCGTGCCATAGCCTCATTCCTTGAATTCCAAACATGCGAATCCGTGAATCTGTTGTAATATTTGAAGACGAGAGCGCGCTGCGCTAAGGCGAGAGCCACATCTTGAAAAGAAAC